TTTGGAGGTGAAGAACTGGTAGGGAAGCTCCACAAACTTTTTTTTTTCATATCTGGTACAATGAGAAGATTCCAGAAGACTTGAGAAATGCCAACATTGTTACAATCGTTAAAAAAGGAGATAAGTCAGAGGGTGGAAATTATCATGGCATTGCCTTGCTATCTACAGCAGGGAAAATTCTCGCCCGTATCCTCTTAAACCGATTACTTCCCCTTGCTGAGGAAATATTGCCGGAATCTCAGTGTGGTTTCAGACCATCCCGCAGGACAAGGGATATGATCTTTGTTGCCCACCAAATCTCGGAAAAATCTCGAGAGCAAAATCAGGACCTGTACATGGCCTTCATCGATTTGACAAAGGCCTTCGACTCTGTCAATCGTGAAGCCCTGTGGAAGGTGCTGGCCAGAATAGGCTGCCCTCCAAAATTTATTATTGTCCTAAGATTTCTTCATTATCAGATGACTGCCACCATTCTCTGTAATGGCCTGGAGATGGATCCTTTTGTCATGAAAACTGGGGTTAAGCAAGGATGCGTTATTGCCCCAATCCTGTTCTCCATCTATTTAGCAGTCATTTTGGTCCTCATTAAAGACCGCCTCCCCATTGGAGTTGACATTCAATACAGAATGGATGGGCAGCTTTTTAATCTTTGATGTTTCCACTCAAAGTCTAAAGTCCTCAGGGCGTCCATTACTGACTTCAGTACGCTGATGACTGTGCCATCCTCGCACACACTGAGAATGACCTTCAGTCCACACTGGATTTTTTTGCAGAAGTTTACCAAAGCCTATGACTCTCACTCACTATTGAGAAGACTAAAGTGCTCCATCAGCCTGCTTCAGGCCTTGCACAAGACCAACCACACATCACCATCGAAGGACAGACTTTGGAGAGAGTTGAGGACTTCTGTTACCTCAGTAGCCAACTTTAGCAAAATGTAAAAACTGACAGTGAGATCCAGCACAGGATCCAGTGCGCAAGTGCTTAAAATTAAAAAATAATTCCTTTGGGAATCTGCTCCGACGCATTTTCACAGACTGTAACCTACGGCAGGACACTAACATCCAGGTCTATGAGACAATTGTTATTCCTAACTCCTTTATAGCTGTGAAACATAAGAACATATAAGAATGGCCCTACTGGGTCAGACCAAAGGTCCATCTAGCCCAATAACCTGTCTTCCGACAGTGGCCAGTGCCAGGTGCCCCAGAGAAAAGGTAATCATCAAGTGATCCATCCCCTGTTGCTCATTCCCAGCTTCTGGCAAACAGAAGCTAGGGACACCATTCCTGCCCATCCTGGCTAATAGCCATTGATGGACTTATCCTCCATGAATTTATCTAGTTCATTTTTGAACCTTGTTATGGTCTTGGCCTTCACAACATCCTCTGGCAAGGAAGTCCACAGGTTGACTGTGCATTGTGTGAAGAAATACTTCCTTTTATTTGTTTTAAACCTGCTGCCTATTAATTTCATTTGGTGACCCCTAGTACTTGTGTTATGAGAAGTAGTAAACAACACTTCCTTATCTACTTTCTTTACATCAGTCATGATTTTGTAGACCTCAATCATATCTCCCCTTAGCCATCTCTTTTCCAAGCTGAAAAGTCCCAGTCTTATTAATCTTTCCTCATATGGAAGCCTTTCCATACCCCTAATCATTTTTGTTGCCCTTTTCTGAACCTTTTCCAATTCCAATATACCTTTTTTGAGATGGGGTGACCACATCTGCACACACTATTCAAGATGTGGGCATATCATTGATTTATATAGAGGCAACATGATATTTTCTGTCCTATTATCTATCCCTTTCTTAATTATTCCCAGCATTCTGTTCGCTTTTTTGGCTGCCGCTGCACATTGAGTGGATGTTTTCAGAGAACTATCCACAGTAACCCAAAGATCTCTTTCTTGAGTGGTAACAGCTAATTTAGACCCCATTGTTTTATATGTATGGTTGGGATAATGCTTCCCAATGTGCATCACTTTGCATTTATTAACATTAAATGTCATCTGCCATTTTGTTGTCCAGTCACCCAGTTTTGAGAGATCCTTTTGTAGCTCTTCGCAGTCTGTCTGGGTCTTAACTATCTTTAGTAATTTTGTATCGTCTGCAAATTTTGCCACCTCACTGTTCACTCCTTTTTCCAATCATTTATGAATATGTTGAATAGGACTGGTCCCAGAACAAACCCCTGTGGGACCCCACTATTTACCTCTCTCCATTCTGAAAACTGACCATTTATACCTACCCTTTGTTTCCTATCTTTTCACCAGTTACCAATCCATGAGAGCACCTTCCCTCTTATCCTGTGGCAGCTTACTTTGCATAAAAGCCTTTGGTGAGGGACCTTGTCAAAGGCTTTCTGAAAATCTAAGTATACTATATCCACTGGATCCCTTGGTCCACATGCTTGTTGACCCCCTCAAAGAATTCTAGTGGATCGGTGAGGAATGATTTCCCTTTACTAAAACCATGTTGACTCTTCATCAACAAATTATGTTCACCTATATGTCTGACAATATTGTTCTTTATTATAGTTTCAACCAGTTTGCCCAGTACTGAAGTCAGGCTTACAGGCCTTTAATTGCTGGGATCACCTCTGGAGCCCTGTACCTATTGGGTTCTGGGAAGTGGGCGGGCGAAGCCCGCCCACTGCTAAAGGATCCTCCCCCCGGCCTAAGGGGAGGACCCACAGGACCTAAAACCCAAATGATTACGGGGGACAACTAACGTAAAAACAGGGACAGGAGTGCGATTAAAGGGTCAAAAGAAGGGAACCTGACGGGGACACCGAGCAGAGAACCCCGGACAGCGCCCACTGCTTCTCAAAGATGTCAAGGGAGCCAGTGGACGCCGCCTCTGGAGCCCTGTAGCGGAGCAGTTACCCCGCTCTTAAGCAGCAAGCCTAGGCTGATTGGGGAAGCAGCCACAGCTGGGCCATGCCCTAATCAGGCCACAGCTGCCCCTGATAAAAGGACTATGAGGCAGGAGCTAGTCACTCTCCCTCCAGCTTCAGAGGGAGAAGGACCTAGCTGCCTGGGAGCTGAGGGCGCAGGCAACAGAGTAGGGCTAGGGAAAGGTGAGAGGAGCTGGGGAGCTCCCACCTGGCAACTCCCCAGGCTGCAGGCCCTGTGCAAGGCCAAACCAGGTACTGGGGATGCAGAGGCTACAGCCCAGGGGTTAGGCAAAGGCAGCAGGTCCAACCCCCCTTTTGCCAATGATGAATGGCTTGTACACTGCAGCCTGCCCCAGTGGAGGTGGGGGGGGTATATGGTGACTGGCAGTAGCAATAGACTGAGGCGAGGTGGGGATAGAGCAGGGGTCTCAAACTCAAATGACCATGAGGGCCACATGAGGACTAGTACGTTGGCCCGAGGGCCGCATTACTGACACCTCCCCCCACCGCTGCCCTCGGCCCCGCCCCCACTCCACCCCTTCCATGAGGCCCCGCCCCTGCCCCGCCTCTTCCCACCCCTTCCCTGCCCCCATTCCAAACCCTTCCCCGAAATCCCCACCCCAACTCTGCCCCCTCCCTGCCCCCAGGGGGTGCAGGAGGGGTGTGGGGTGCGGCAGGGGGCTCAGGGCAGTGGGTTGGGGTGCAAGAGGAGTGCGGGGTGTGGCAGGGGGTTCAGGGCAGGGGGTCAGGGTGCAGGAGGGGTGCAGGGTACGGCGGGGGTTGGGGCGCAGGAGGGGTGCGGCATGGGGCTCAGGGCAGTGGGTTGGGATGCAGGAAGGGTGAGGGGTGAGGCAGGGGGTCGGGGTGCGGGAGGGGTGCAGGGTATGGCAGGGGGTCGGGGTGCAGGGTGCGGCAGGGGGCTCAGGGCTGCAGGAGGGGCTCGGGGGGCAGGATCTGGCCCGGCGTGTACCGGGGGCAGGGCAGGCTCCCTGCCTGCCTGCCTGCCAGCCTGCCTGTCTGCCCTGCCCCCGCAAGAGGCTGGAACGTGGGGAAGGGGGTGGTGGAGGGGCTGTGTGTTTCTGTTGCTTGAGGCACTGCCTCCAGCAGCTCCCATTGGCCGTGGATCCCCATTCCCAGCCAATGGGAGCTGCTGGGGGTGCTGCCTAAAGCAACAGAAACATACATCCCCTTTGCCCCCCCTTCCCCACATTCCAGCCTCTTCCTGGAGCTGTGCAGGGCAGGGCAGGCAGGGAGCGTGCCCTGCTCCCGGTGCACGTCCGGCCGCCGCTCTGGTAAACACTGGGGGAAGGCAGGGGGTCTGCGAGGGGCTCGCAGGCCGCAGAAAATCACCCCGCGGGCCGCGTGTTTGAGACCCCTGGGATAGAGGGTTGGGGGTTTCCTGGGGAGGGGAGACCCAGAGCTGTGGGGGTACTGCAGAGGGCAGAACCCTGGGAAAAAGGGGCACTGGAGTCCAGGAGGGACATGAGGGCCAATGACAGGCGAGATACCGGCCTGCAGAGGGTGCTCCGGAGCTGGAAACAGAACTAATTCCCTAGAGAACCAGCAGGAGGCGCCACAGCGGTGAATTGTCGTCTCGCTACATGTGGTGGAGAATGCAGGCATAGGTGGTCCGCTCCCGATAAAAGGGGCAGGGCAAGGACGGCAGGACTATTGCCCGGAGACTTGAGAGCTAAAGGAAGGGATGGTGGATCCCGGGTATACCTGTGTTTTCTATGCGGAGACCACAGGTGCCATCCCTGGTTGGTCCCTGGTGTCAGCGCCCCGGCGGAAGGGGGCAGATGATATGCAGGGGATCCGGGAGACCCAACAGGGACTCTGGGAGGTGCATTGGGCCCTCCATGAACAGTTGGGCCAGCTGGCGGAGGAGCAGCAGGCCCTGGTAAAGCTCCTCCGGGGGAAGTTTTGGAGGAGCCACCGAGAGCCTGGTCAGAGGCCCGGGGCCAGGAGGCTGGGAACGGAACAAAGGACATGTTATGCCTGTTTAAGGCGATGACATTTAAGACGGGGCTGTCCCTACTGGGATGGGGGTGGGGCGCCTCACCCAGAGAAGAGACGGGGGCAAGTACCTCAGACAGTCCGCCGGGTGAGGTAACCCAGGCGGCTGCTGACATGTTGGGCCTGTGGGCAACAAGACCACATGCGGTGGACATGTCCAGGCCCGACGCGGAGGGTCCAGGTCAGGCCTGGCGAGAGGGCAAGACCCCAGATGGACAACAAGAGACCCAGGGCAGCAAAGAGACATGGACCCTGTTGTAGCTGCCAGACACCGGCCACATTAGGAGGCATTGCCCCCTCAGGGGAACTGAAGGATGGCCGAAGGAGGTGCCTGAGGACCCGGAAGGGCCAAAACTGAGGCAAGGTGAAACGCAGACTGAATGGGCCCAGCAAGAGGCCGGAACCCAGATGGTCGTAGGGCAGGAAACCAAATGGACCCAGACTCTGAGGGTGGAGGGTCCGGGAGACACGGGGCTGAGGGCGCAGCTCAAAGCCGCGGAGCAGGCCTGCCGGAAGGCGGAGGCCAACGCCTGGGAGATGGCCAGAAACTGGGAGGCTTCAGAAAGGAAGTGTGCAGCCCTGGAGGGGTGGCCCTGGAAGGCCAGCTTCAGGGAGCCCAGGCCAAGAGTCCCCCCTTCCCCCAGGGGTGGGGATTTTGAGTGTGGGGGGGTGCAGCAGGGCAGTTACCCCACTCCTAAGCAGCAAGCCTAGGCTGATTGGGGAAGCAGCCACAGCTGGCCCTGATAAAAGGACTATGAGCCAGGAGTTAGTCACGCTCCCTCCAGCTTCAGAGGGAGAAGGACCTAGTTGCCTGGGAGCTGAGGGTGCAGGCAACAGAGTAGGGCTGGAGAAAGGCGAGAGGAGCTGGGGAGCTCACGCCTGGCAACTCCCCAGGCCGCAGGCCCTGTGCAAGGCCAAACCAGGTACTGGGGTTTCAGAGGCTACAGCCCAGGGGTTCGTCAAAGGCAGCAGGTCCAAACCCCCCTTTGCCAATGATGAATGGCTTGTACACTGCAGTCCACCCCAGTGAGCGGGGGCTAGATGGTGACTGGCAGTAGCCATAGACTGAAGCGAGGTGGGGATAGAGGGTTGGGGGTTCCCTGGGGAGGGGAGACCTAGAGCTATGGGGGTACTGCAGAGGGCAGAACCCACAGAAAAAGGGGTACCGGGGTCCGGGAGGGACACGGGGGCCAGTGACAGGCGAGACACCGGCCAGCAGAGGGTGCTCCGAGTGCTGGATGAGCTAATTCCCAAGAGAACCAGCAGGAGGCGCCTCAACGGTGAGTCGTCGCATTGCTACAAGCCCTTCTTAAAAATTGGCGTCACATTAGCTATCCTCCAGTCATCTGGTACAGAAGCTGGTTTAAATGATAAGATACAGAGTACAGTTAGTAGTTCTGCAGTTTCACATTTGAGTTCCTTCAGAACTCTTGGGTGAATACCATATGGTCCTGGTGACTTATTGCGGTTTAATTTATCATTTTGTTCCAAAACCTCCTCTAATGATACCTCAATCTGGGACAGTTCCTTAGATCTGTCACCTAAAAAGAATGTCTCAGGTTTGGGAATCTCCCTCACATCCTCAGCCGTGAAGACCTAGTCAAAGAATTCATTTAGTTCCTCTGCAATGGCCTTATCGTCCTTGAGTGCTCCATTAGCACCTCGATTGTCCAGTGGCGCCACTGGTTGTTTAGCAGGCTTCCTGCTTCTGATGTACTTAAAAATAATTGCCATTACTTTTTGAGTCTTTGGCTAACTGTTCCTCAAATTCTTTTTTGGCCTTCCTAATTGTATTTTTACACTTCATTTGCCAGTGTTTATGCTCCTTTCTATCTTCCTCACTAGGATTTAACTTCCACGTTTTAAAGATGCCTTTTTATCTCTCACTGCTTCTTTTACTTTGTTGTTTAGCCACGGTGGCTCTTTTTTGGTTTTCTTACTATGTTTTTTAATTTGGGGTATACATTGAAGTTGAGCCTCTATTATGGTGTCTTTAAAGAGTTTCCATGCAGCTTGCAGAGATTTCACTTTTGGCACTGTACCCTTTAATTTCTGTTTAACTAACCCCCTCATTTTTGTGTAGTTCCCCTTTCTGAAATTAAATGCTACAGTGTTGGGCTGCTGTGGTGTTTTTCTGCCACAGGGATATTAAATTTAATTATATTATGGTCACTATTACCAAGCAGTCCAGCTATATTCACCCCCTGGACCAGATCCTGTGCTCCACTTAGGACTAAATCAAGAATTGCCTCTCTTCTGGTGGGTTCCAGGCCCAGCTGCTCCAAAAAGCATTTAAGGTGTCAAGAAACTTTATCTCTGCATCCTGTCCTGAGGTGACATGTACCTAGTCAATATGGGGATAACTGAAATCCCCCATTATTGACAGCACCTCAAGAGTCTGGAGAAGTACCGCCAATGATGCCTCCGGAAGATCCTTTGCATCAAGTAGGAAGATCACTGCACTAATGCCAGCATCCTCATTGAAGCTAATGTAACCAGCATTGAAGGAATGATCCGCACTCGCCAACTCTGCTGGGCTGGACATTTTGTGCTGATGCCAGACTCTCGCCTCCCCAAACAAGTCTTCTACTCTCAGCTCACCCATGGTCAGAGATCCCGTGGTACTCAGAGGAAATGCTACAAAGACACACTGAAAGCGCATCTCAAGAAAACTCACGTGGACATCACAAGCTGGGAAGAGCAAGCCACCAACCGACCCCAATGGCACTACATCCTCTCTCAGGCAGTAGCCCGCTTTGAGGAGAAGTGCCTTGCCCTCGAAGCTGAAAAGAGAGAGAGAAGGAAGGAAAGAAAAAGAACTTTCTCCCAGCAGGCAGCTGACCCATCAGGCAACATCTGTACCTACTACAGGCAAATCTATGGTTCCAGGATTGGACTCCTGAGTCTTCTCAGGACCAGGGCCAGCTCCAGGGTTTTTGCTGTCCCAAGAAAGAAAAAAAAAAAAAAAAAAGCCGTGATCGCGATTGCGATCTGTGGCAGTAATTCGGCGGGAGGTCCTTCGCTCCAGAATACTACTAGTATTCTGTCAGGACAGCATCTCTCAAAAATCGCTTGGTGCAGAAACATCACAGCTCCCATATATGTCTGTTCTCAGTGATATCTAGTGCACAAGGCTGTTTGTAGACGGCTGACTGGTTATTTCTGGAAAAATTCTAAATGGGTCCAATCCTGAGTCCTTTATTCTGTTTCTACTCAGTCTGTTCAATGCAAACTCACATTACAGTCAATAGCTGCCTGCCTGAGTAAGGAACCCTGGGTTTGGCCCTATGAGCTGGCCCTACACCTCTATCCAGGGAAGATGGGGATTAGTGACAAGAATGGACATAACTATAAGGGCCATGGAAAGACTCCTCCTCCTCTCCAAGCTTCAGCACAGGCATGTGGAACTACCCTGCCAGCACAGCAGGGGTTAAAGGGAGCCTTTGGCCCCAGCTAGGCCCACCCTGTTATACCTGCATCCAATGCCAGGCCTGAGGGGGAGAAAAGGAGAGAGCCTGGCTCAGCTGACTGGTGAAGAGGCAGGAGCTATCCGCCTCCCTACCTGAGGGGAAGGGTCACTAGCCTGCCAGCCGAGGCAGCCAGCAGGGAGTAAGCACTGTCTCCCCAGCCAAAGGGGGACTGTGGAGGAGACCTAGGAGCCTCTGGCAACTGAGGTAACTGGGTGACTGAAGCCCAGAGACATTGTGGGGTTCAGTCTCACCAAACTTACAGCTGCCCCACCTGAAGGAGCCTGGGATCGCAGCATGAGGCCACCCAAGATCCACGAGAGGGCGCTATGGGATACAAGCCACCCAGCGAACGGGACTAGAGGGGCCATGCCCCAAACAAAAGGGACAGTGGTAGGAAGTAGCCCAGGGCAGGGGATTTAGACTCCCTGCTGGGAGGCCTCCCCTATTCAGGGGTAGATGCATGCAGGACTCTGGGCTGGGACCCGGTGGAGAGGGAGGGCCTGGGTTTCCCTACCCCACTGCCTAAAAGACTGAGCCAAATTGACCTTGAAAACCAGGGGATGGAGGTCAGGGGCACCAACCACTAGGTTGCCCGGCCCTTCAAGCGCCTTGTTACAAACCCAAACTTTATTCCCACTGCAAACGTGCAGCTCCAGCTGAGATGCAGGCGCAGTGTTACAGAAAGATGCACAGAAGGGACTTTTGCTCTCATACCCCTTTGTTTGTGTGCAGCTCCCTCCTCCTGGCGAGGTTCAGACAAGAGGGACTCCCTGCTGTGCACTTGCTAGGTGTGCAGCACAAGGCATTGCAGTTGTTATTACCAGGTTAGGAAATTTACATTGGTGAAGGTCAATGTGTTTTCTGAAGAGTTTAAAAGTCCTGGCAATGAATTTTTGTAAAGTTCCAGCCCACCCCAGCTTTTTTATTTTTTAAAAATACAAAGAAATTGCATACAACCCCTCCCCCATGTGAAGAGCGTATAGATGTTTGTCATTGAAACACTCAAAATCCAGGAAAGGGTTGAGATTAAACACTGCCCTGAGCTCCCATCGCCAGGGGGAGCTGCTAAAACTATTGGAACTATAGGAAAATATTCTACTCTTCCTTGTGCTATGTCAGAGGAAGATATTATTTCTACTAAATGTTAAGAAGAGATAAATTAAAACTAAAACTTATAATGGGTCTGTAGTTGTAATGTTAACTATTGAGTCACAACAAATGTCTCATTAACATGATATTCCTGTGCTGTGTAGGGTTGAGGTATATTTTTGGCTGAGCTCTCTATGCTATGCCAGATCCACTGGGTATCAGAGGTTTTGAAATTTTCTATTACTGGTTGGTCCAAAATGTGAGAAGTAACAGAGCAGAGAGGGGAGTGCTCTCGGCTAAATCTAAATCTGGCCAAGCTGGGAGAATCCGCCCATTCCTCGGTCACCCTCTGAGGATGGCAAAGGGGCTACATAAATGCCCCACTCTCTGTACCTCTGTGGTTGGGTGTCTGGGTCTGGATTTTGGCATGAGTGTAACATTTTCAAAAGTGCCTCAGCGACTTAGGCTCCTAAGTGACATTTTCCTTTTCCATTTTCTTTCCTATCTGCATTTTTAGACCCATTCAGAGGGAAAGGGAAAGGAAAGCCGTGGCATTAAAATAACTGGTAATGAGATAATGAAAATGATTCAGTCACACAGGGGGCTCCTCAGTGGCCAGTGACATGAACCGTAATAATTACAGCTGAGTAATAACAATCATTACAGGACTTACTCTGATTTTTGTTCATTTCTCGTTAGGGTCACAGGCACACAATGCCCTCGTGGTTCAAGCCCTTTTGTCTCAGGGGATTTGCCTTTCAGGACTGAGCTGGCTGATTCTTACCTGAACAGGTCACTCCAGCATCCTCTCCATGACTGCAGGAAAACACTTCCCGTCTCACGTTCCCGCAGTGCCAGAGAGCAGACTCGGTACCACGACAGGCAACATTAACCAGCCAAATTTTTCCAGATCCTGCTCCAAAATGAGCTGAGCCAGGGGCACTGACAGCATCTCCACATCCCAGGTGCTTACAGACAACCCCAGCATCTGCCATGTCCCAGCCATCATCGCACACCGTCCCCCACTGATCCTGGTGTTTAACCTCCACTCTCCCGGCACAGGGGCTGCCTCCATCCACCAGCCTCAGCTCCTCAGCACCTTCAAAGAGAGACACAGAGCAGGGTCAGAGCGAGCAGGGAGACACCCCCCCCCCAGCATTATCACAGCAGAGTCCGCACCCGGCAGCAGGGGATCCGCGTCCAGAGCCAGGAGAACGGGACATGCCCAGAGCTGCCTCATGGCGCCACCTTCTCACGTCTCAGGGCCTCACACTCGGGGCTGTCAGTGCTGCAGCTTTCACCATTTTATCTCCACTCTGGCGATTTGGGGTGTTTTTAACCTGTCTCGTGAGAACACGATGAAAGGCACCAACTCACGGAGTTTCCCTTATTCCAAATGGCGCCATCTCTTGTCACAGTGTCACTAGGGCTGAAGCCAGTGAAATGCCACCATCTCCCTACAGTCTGTCGGCATGTGGGAGTGAGGCCGCCCTGAATAAAGCTGGCTGCCACTTCCCACTAAAGCCCGTGGGGAACAAGACTGTCTCTGTGTGGCTGAGGGGGCTGGAGAGGACCCAGGGACTGTGATGGGCAGCAGAGACCCAGTGAAAGGAGGATGGTGAGAGTGAGGGGAGCAGGGCACTTGGGGGACAGGAGTCAGATTCAAGGCTTGCAAGGGAAGGGGGTGCAGGTGCTGTGTGGGCCGGAGGGAGGGGTGGGGAGGAGGTTCTGGAGCAGGGGGAGGAAAGAGGGTGGAGAAGGGAGAGTCTGTAGCAGGAGGCAGGAGGGACAGAGGGGAGGAGGGTCTGGAAATGGGGGTAGGAAGGGGCAGGAGTGAGGAGGTGGGTCTGGGGTGGGAACGGGAAGGAGCTCAGAAAGTAGGGGCAGGAGGGAGAAGTGGGGAGGGGAGGGGTGTCTGCAGAGGGAGTTAACAGGGAAGCAGTAGAGAGGGACAGAAGGGAGGGCAGGGGACAGGGAGCTGAAATTGAGGCAGGAGGGAGGAGTGGAGACGGAGCACAGGGTCGTCTGGAGGGAGATAAGGGAGCATGGGGCTGGAGGGGGTTATTGAGCAGGGGGTAGGAGGGAGGGGAGGAAAAGGGGGTTTAAAGAAGGGTGTCTGCATGGAGAAGTGGAGAGAGGAGGGGGTCTGGAGTGGGGGACAGGAGTGAGAAGTGAGGAGGGGGTGAGGATCCAGGTAGGAGAGTGAGAGAAGGGAAGGGAGAGAGCAGAGAGGGGGCAGAAGGATGCATGGGGAGAAGAGGGGGGAAGGAGGAGGTGGGGGGGAAAGGTGATCATGTGTAGGGCGAGGAGGGAGGGGGTCTGAATCAGGGCAGCAAGAGGGTGAGGAGGGGAGGGGTGTGGAGCAGAGAATGGGAGTGAGCAGAGGTAGCCTGGAGCAGGGGCACATGGGGGAGTGTTGGGGAGGATGGAGGGTGGGTCTGGTGCTGGTGGACAGAAGATAGGGGAGCGGTTCTGGAACAGGGGACAGGAGGGAGTATTGGGGAGGGGAATGGAGTCTGGAGTAGGCAGGGGATGGGGTCAGGAGTGGGAGGGGCAGGAGAGAAGGGGAGGAGAGGGGAGGAGGCTCTAGATTGTGGGGTGTGCTTCACTATCTCAGGTAGAGAAGCTGCAGGGTGGTGTGGGGTGAGCCAGGGAAGTGTTGCTGTTTGCAAATGGCTAAATCAATCCTGTTGTGTTACGGTGACATTATAGCTGATGTGAATGGTTGAGGTCTCCAGTATCTCTGTCTGTAACTCACCCCTGAACAGTAACAGAAGTTCTGTGTGCGAGTGTGAACCATGCTGCATGAATTAGCTCAGTGGCTGTCAACTATTTCTCAGCCAGTCCTTCGTCTGTCAGAGGAACTGAACCAGGAGGGGAGAGCGAAGGCAGTGCTGGGCAGTGGACGGCAGTTCCCATCTCAGGGGTGAGGGGAGGGTAAGCGCAGTCTCCAGCTGAGCCGCCAGGGGGAGCCGTGAAGTTTGGGTGCACTAAAGGGTGACTTTTCAGCCTGCGATTCTCACCCCCACGCTGGCAGAAGAGTAGAGGTGAGTTCTACAGTCCATAGACAGACTGAGTAACATAATGGGATGGTTTTTATAACCTCGTAATTTTTGTTCTGTGGAGCTTGGCATTACAGCCTTGTGCTCCCTACTGGAGCTTCCTCTCCCCACCTGCCCCAAACATATCCCTCTTCTATCGGTCTCTTCCCACCCTCCTCCCCTGGGCTCTTCCCCCTCCTCTTCTCCCCTTTCTACCTGGCCTCTCTGACCTGCATGTACAGGTTGCTCCTTCCCCAGATGAGCAGCAGACTCTGCCCCCACTTCCTGCCATTGGCTTTTCTCCCAGTAGCTCTGAGTTCCACCCCCTGCCCCCAGTTGTCTCTAAAGTTTTTTGTATCTCTGGGGGTTGTGGAGAGGCAAAGCTGGCTGCTGGGAGGGAGGCAGCTAACAGGGAATGTGAGGAGCGGCCACTGCCTGCCACACAGTCCTGGGATATTAGCTGGGAGAACTGGTGTGAAGAGCCAGGACTGTCCCTGTGACTGGGAGCTAGTACGGGCATCATTACAATGCCCATGAGTTACGGCTACATGCAGAGTTCCACTGTGACCCCTGGAACAGGCTGGCTGCAGCAGTGGATCGCTGAGCCGGGGACACCATGTTTATGGAGCCTCCATGGAGCTCAGAGAACAGTACAGTTCACACCAGTACATGGTCAGACCATCCTGCTCCTTTAATGCCAAGGAAATACAAAACGATCACTTTGCTGCAATCCACAGGGGTGTTTATTCAGGTATGACTCACTTCAGTGTAGTCCCACAGGCAACCCATGGGGCCTGGTCTGCACTAAGAAAAAAGGGACTTTTTTTCAATGGAGTTAACTCAGTGATGTTCACTCGTGGCAGGACCCAAGGCTGTAACTCTGCTCTAGCTAAGTGCACACACAGTTCTGTTTCCCTGCACACAGTAGAAACTAACAACTGTCGGCAGTTTCCTTGTTCAGAAATCCTCCAGCTACCCCTCCAGTGAGCTCCAACAGGCTTTGTTTCTTTTCTGCTTCCAAGGTCCCGATCACAACTCCTTCTACTGGCTTCTCCCTCCAACAGACACAGTCTGACGCCAGTATCCTGCCCCTGCACTGGCAACAATGGAAACCCCGGGCTTAGCTCTGACCTACCCATGTGCCTAGTGCCTTTGGCAGTAGCTCCCACTGTTTGCAGCTGTTTTTACTACATAAAGGATCTTGATTGCTCCGTCTGTTGAGCCTAAAAGAGAGTTTTCACCCTGCCATTGGCTTTCATGAGGTCGGTGATTGTCTTAGGATCGAAGCCTCCCCGATGGCAGCCATCAGCACCTTTCAGGATAACAATCACATTTATATTGTACCTATCATATACTGGCTCCACTTCTGTGGCCCAACTTGGAATAATGACCCCACCCAGCACTCTGAACATTGGGGAAGTTCAGATCTTGATCTGGGAGTTAAACCTGTGGCTTTGGTCCGTCCCTGATATTTTCTCATTTGTTTGCCTGGACCCCACATCATTTTACAAATTTGTTTTCCCACAAAATGTAAATAGGTCAATAATTGTGAAACACGATCTTCTGGCAAAGACTGACTTGGCCTCTACTCAGGGCTCAGGGGGGAAAATTGCGGCACTGAGGGAAAGGGAAAAGTAGCTACATGGGGTGATATTCCCTATATTGTAAACACTCCTGAGTCACTGTGTCTGTGTCATGTGAAGCAAACTCAAATTTCCAATAGAAAATAAAAAATATCAAAGGGATGATGCACATTTCCTCATCAATTCAACAAAAATACACTGAGCTGAGCATGTGCTTGGGATCACTATATGACGTTCTCCTACAAGTAACTGGAGAGTATTTTATGCTCCCCCATGTCACTGTGTCTGCATCATGTGAAGCAGTCAAATTTCCCATAGAAAAGAAGAAATATTCAGAGGATGATAAACATTTACTCATAAATCCAACAAAAATACACTGAGCTGAACATGTGCTTGGCATCACTGTATGACACCATCCCACAATCATGCAGTAATTTATCCCTCACATGATAACAATTATCAGAGGGGTAGCCGGGTTAGTCTGAATCTGTAAAAAGCAACAGAGGGTCCTGTGGCACCTTTAAGACTAACAGAAGTATTGGAGCATAAGCTTTCGTGGGTGAATGCCCGCTTCATCAGATGCAAGACCCACTGATGATAACAATTGTCCATCCTCTGCAATGTCAGTCTGATCACCAGCAGTCACCACAGAATCCCCTGCTTTTCGGTCATGTACAGCTGTGTTATGGCCTCTAACCCCAGCACATTATATTTGAACTTCTTGGAAATCTGAAATATAAACTCCAAGGAACCTGCTGGACGGTTTGGTTTGCTCAGGATTTTCTGGGTACCAGCCCCCTAATCACTGCACAGTTACTGAGCTGTCTGTGAAATATACATTAGGGAAGGTTTTTCTCTAAGACAATAATTTAGATGGACATTTCTGATCATCAACTTCAGGGTTAGTTTCTCAGGCTGGCACAGCAGCACATCGGGTTCCCATGAACCAGCTACTGCTGAGCAGTTCACTGCCCTGCCAGTCACATGGATCATTCTCATCCTATTAATACCAGCCCAACAGGTTCCAACCACTGTATTATTTGAATCATAACTGGGTCCCACATTCGATTTTAATCCTATTGCTAATCAGTTTTGGAGTCTTTGGGCCAGATTCACTTCCCAAAATGCACCAGCACTTGCTGAGGTACCCCATGATCTGCCCCTCCCCTTCATTGCTGTTAAGTCTGCCTGGAGCTGGGACACAGCTTGGCAAGGAGCCTGCAGCCCCCTCTGTGCTGGAGGAACGAGAGCAGCCCTGAAACTGGGCAGGGGCAGCCTTCAGGGAATGAAACCAATGTGTCCGTGAAAGGCACCAATACAGCACCTCTGCCATGCAGCTTGTGCTGGTCGGGCTTCTCTAGTCTCCAAATAGGATTCAAAGCTTCTCCTCTCCAGCAGAAACCCTGGGGGAGGGAGGCAGGGCTCATGCAGGATAAATCTTCCTGCTGGCAGAGCTTCCGGTACCTCCATGGGCACAGGGCTTTGCACACTGCACCCCAACACATGCACACACCCCTTCCCTGGGAGGAATCGGCTCTGGGTTTATTTGGATAAATCCTGCTCACTTCAAAATTGCAAAACTTCTACTGGCTTCAGTGCATGAATGGGGGAGTGAGGAGCCAAGACTTGGCCCTTGGAGCTGTTGGATTCAGTACCAAACAGACATTTCTGTTGGATCCCAAATTATTGATGTATTTATTGGGATTTAAAACACTAAAGCGATGCCCAGCCAAGACTGTTGGCACCCGGACGACATTGATAACACACTCAAATCCCAGCAGCATGAAGTGGCCATTTCAACAGGAACTCAGCCAGCCAGACACCTACAGAAACTCCTTCCCACCCATTTCTCATTATGTTACGCAGGGCCTGGGTTCTTCCCACCCCCAAACAAGTGTCTTTTGCAGTGTGCCCAGAAGGTCACCAAATTTGGGCTATTTTGGCCCAAACCGGACAACAAGTTTCAGAGTCCTGGAGGCCTCACGAGAACACCCTCCCAGCCACCCCTCTCCTTTATAAAAAGGGGGAACCAGCTTAGGTGCCCCTGCTAACCAGAGCTGTGGCAGTACGACACGGGGAGAGAGGTGATCCCTCAGGGAGGCCGGTCCCAGGACATTTAGGTCTTTATAAATACTAACCAACACCTTAACCTCCACCCAGAGCTGGGCAGCCAGTGCAGATCCTGCACCATGACTGTAACATGCTCCTAGCAAGATGTGCTGATCAGTGAGTTGCTTCCGTTTGCACCAGCTTTGTTCTCTGAATGGTTCTAAGGTGCAGCCCCACATTAGGATCATTTGAATAGTCCAATCTCAAGGTAACAAAAGCCTCGGTAACAGTGGTAAGTTCCAATCCCAAAAAGAAAAGTCACAACCTCCTAGCCAGGCACCGATGGTAAAAAGTGGACTTTAAAAGTTACCACCCTAGTTCCAGTTAACCCAGCTCCCCTGGTGAAACACAGAAGAGACTTACCTGCTATGTCCTGAATTGTGAGGAGAAGAAGCCACAGCACCGAAGTGGAGAGATGTCCCTTCATTGCCAGCCTGACTTGCTGTCCCCCCTCTCAATGCACTGGCTGCTCCTAAACACCTGCCAGGGCTCCTCTGTGTCTGACAAGTGACAACAAAGCAGTGGAAGGGAAATATATAGAATCAGAGGCTGGCATCAGCTGCGTGAAGGAACCAATAGCAAACCCACCTGCCTTTTTAGTTATTATCAGTGTTTTTATCTGTGACTTTATGCAGCTAAAACATCCAATAAAACTCGAAAGCAACAAACATCACCATATATGAGTGATGAGCCCCCTCCTGATGTCAGCTTTACCACAGCCTCAGATCATCGGGTAACCCCCAATCTCCGGTGAGGGAAGGAAAAGTTCTGTACAAATTGTATCCGTGCTGTTTCTCACCCTGATAGATTTTATATCGTATTAAACATGAATTGGGAGACATTAGAGGCTGGTTATTTTATAAACTAGGAAAGAAATCCCTTGTGCCAAAGGTGATCATTACAAGACCAATTCCCAGTAAAGGACATGCCCAATTGTAGACAAGGACAACTCACTAGAACCAGGTTGTGTCACTCAGATCAGCTTTATAGAAGAAGAATTACTCAGCCGCATCTGAAATATTGACAGTTCTTCTACTAATAGACCTTGGGGCAGGGGTGAAAGTGGGCCGGTATGACATACTGGTAAAAAGTGGCTGCCAGTACCAGCCCATATGCAGCTGACGTTCATTGCCCCTTTCCCCCAACCCCTGCAGGCTGCCAACATGGGGGGGGGGCAAAAGGGGCAGCTACCCTGGGGCTGGTGATTTAAAATTTAAATCTCCATCGGAGCCCCGGGTGGCGCGGGCCAGGCAGCGTAGATGCGCTGGCTGGAGTAGGCTGACCCCCAACCGCGCCCCTTCTGCCCAAGGCCCAGCCCCTTCCAGGGGCCCGGCTCTGGGCCCCCGTACTGGTAAGTGCTTAATGTTACTTTCACCCCAGCCTTGGGATTTCCTGCCTAGACCATGATTCTTAGTGATAGAGGCAGAGCTTAGGGCTTTCTGAGTAGGCCATGACCCTCTCATGCAGTAGCAGGATGTCCCACACACACCATGCCCATCAGTGCTGTCAGCAGGAGGAGGGATCATAGGAAACAAGTTTACTTGATTCATGGGACAGAGACAATTCAAGGAACAGGCACAAGGCACAGGGCATATAGCACAGAATAATGACTGGCTGGCACCACAGCTACCTCCTGGTCTTCCTCAAGAGAACTGTTACAAATACGTGGATTAAGGGAAACGTCTTTAACTCTTTACCTTTGCATTTTCTCCCATGCTGCCCTTTCTGTATGGAGAAAACTCCCTGAGAAAATCCATGCAGCCAACACCTGATCCTCCTTCGAATCCCTCCTTGAGACTCTGCTCTGTTGTGATTCAGGAAAAACACTTGACAGAGAATGACTAGCTTGGCAGGGGAGGAGGTGGGGCTGTGCCTCTTCCCCTTCCTTCCCTCTCCTTATTTTTACCAACCTCCCAGTCCCAATCCTGCCATTCCCCCTCACTCTGCCCTCCCACTACTTAAGCAAACAGTAATGACAAAACAGGAAATTGCACCAAAATAATATAAGGACCCTACTGTCAATCAAAAGTTAGCCTCACCCCTTGACCCCTGCCCACCTGTCATGGGAAGTCCTGCACCTGTGGGTATTACTTCTGGTGTCAAGCCGGACACATGACTGGAAGCAAGGTGTGTCATGTGACCCCTCTAAGAACTCCTCCCACTGCCCTCTACCAATCAGGATGGGTTTTCGCCCCCTCAGGACCACCCTGAAAGGCAATTTTATGAATCGGGGGGAGTTCCAGGGCGGGATGATCCGTGCAGAAGTGGGTCATGTGACCCTTCTTAGAACTCCTCCCACCACCCTCTACCAATCAGGAGGGGTTTCAGCTGCAGGGGACCACTCCTGAGAGGATATTTGACCAATCGGGGAAGTTCTGGGGTGGGGTGACCCATTTGGAAATGATTCGTGTGACCCCTCTAAGAATTCCCCCCAATGCCCTCTACCAATTGGGATGGGTTTCGGCTGCAGAGGACTGCCCCGAGAACAGATCTGACCAAAATAGGGCAGGTTCTGGGGTGGGATGAACCGCCCAGAAGAGGGTCATGTGACCCCTCTAAGAACTTCTCCCACCACCCTCTGCCAATCAGAGCACAGTACCACTACCCCATAAGTCCCAGCTCTGGTAGAAGAGTCCATCTCTTACCAAGAATGCACGTTTTAGAACGCGTGGAAATGCTGAGAGGAAACATGGACTTCTTCACCACCCCCGTAAAAACTTCAGCCTTTGTTTTAGCCCCGAGGGACTTCGACCATCTGTGGAGAAAGCTCTACATCAGTGAAAGTTCTGAGGAGGAGGAGGAGGAGTGAGAGACCAAAGGGAACCCTTTGGCCCAGCCGTTGATGGATACATCAGAACCCGATCCCGAAACCCAACTGCCCGTGAGACACTCCAATGAGTGTGCTGGCCTCTCGTCGTCCACCCCACTGGAGGAAGAAGGCGAACACAGCTCGGGGAGTCACCGGCAGACAAAGTGAACAGAAAAGATGTTGCTCAGGTAAATGAACAATTTAGAAGTAACGTTAGAGGATGTGCGTGTGTGTGTGTGTGTGTGTGTAATGAAGTTGTGTAAATCTAAAAACAAGCAGTTGGAACTTACACTTGTTTCTTTTCTGAAAAATCCCTCGACAGCTCAACGATACCTTTCTAGAGGACCCGGAGGCCCTGGACACCATTGCATCAAGCAGCAAAGACGAACTGGGCCCACCTTGTTTTTGCTCAAAGCCGATACAAATCGTTGAAGAGGACTCTGAGGATGATGGCTATGAGGAGTTTAGGAGGGGGCTTGGCACGGAACTAACTGAGTCAGTGCCACGTCATGAGCATAAAAATGTCATGCAGACTATTGTACGTGTTGCTGTTTATGCTGTCCTTAATCAGTATCTTAGGGAAAAGCTTTTTGAAGATTGTGAGGGCTGTGTCATAGATGCACCAGGCCAGCAGCACCATGACTGTGTGGCTTGGACTTCAATGGATATAAACTGCAAGCTCTGGGGCTTGTGTGCTGAGCTGTGTTTGGAAAGCTTATTCAACACTATTTTTGCCATAGGTGATGCTGTGCTTAACTCAAGAACTTTAGTGCAAGGAGTGGCCTTGATAAATGCTGTGCAATTCAGTGGAAACCCTGACCGGTTTTAAAGAAAATGACCAAACCGGAAGATGCCTGCTTACAGCGTTATATTGACGGTCTGGTCCACACAAAAAGTTACAGAACCCTGCTTAAGAAAAAGACTATTTGTAAGAAATCTAAAAGGATTAAGTTAGAGAATGGTGAAGGGACAAACATGCGATATAAAACTTGGTAGCTGTAAATAAAAAAAAAATCTATTGAAAAGGGCTTTGTGACTACTGTGTTTCTGTTTAAATTTTTAAGGTCTCTGTGGCCCTTAAGTGAGCTAAAAGTTTTAATGGAACATCTTGGTTTGTTTTCAAGGAGTTGTATGTCTTAAATTAAAAAAAAAATAGTTTGTGAGAACCTAGTTCTTGTGTCTTTGTGTAAAAGAGACCCATTTACAGCAAAATGCAGAAATGTATGTTGTAGAATCTTGGGGGGGGGACACCCTAAAAATGTGTTTACAATTTAAAAAAAAACAGGGATGGTTCAGACACGTGTTTGAGTACAATGGAGTTGACCCACCGTGTTGAACTGAATGGTTTTAATCACACCCCCACTGAATAGCCAGGGTGACTGAGATTATCCGTCCTTGTTGCCATCAGGGTTAATCATATTAGTGATCGGTAATTAAATTTGATGGGTGTACACCCACAGTAAGGGAGGTGGGTGGATGAGGATGGTGAGCTCTGAGTAATATGAAATGAAATAAAACCTCAGGAGTTTGCAGACGCTATTGGACAGTTTAAATATAACTCCAGGAGTTTGTAGAATGCTATGGGTCACTCTTTCTAGCAACTCAAAGTCATTAAAATAATATATTTAAAAAATAAACAAGGGTCTAACCCCAAACTGAAATGTTTCAAGGGTTCACAAACCTCCACCATACTTTAGAACAAACATTTGCTCTAAAGACAATCAAACATTTAAAAGCTCTGGGTATTTGTAGGGTGCTTACTATGGTTGTGATACACCCATTTTATTTCAAAAACAACCCCCAAACTTTAAGCATGAAAGAAACATGTTTAAAAAACAAACAAACAAGCCCCAAGACATTCATTGATATCTGCAAGGGGCCCCCACTTGGGAATGGGGTACAGGAACATTAAGGATTGTTGTGTTTGGTGATTTACTGGTTTTTCATTGAAACAGAAAAATGTGTTTTAACTAAAAGAAAAAAAAATAGCCTAAAGCAGCCCAGTTGTGCAGACAACTTAATTCCCCCACCCCAGATCACAAAAGGGAATGTTCAGGGAGAGGTGCCTAAAGTCCTTAAGTAGCTATTAATTCAGAGTTGTGGTGATCGAATCAACCTGCTAACTACAGACTTCTGAAGTCTGTTTGAAACAAAGAGTTAGGATGGTATAAAAAAACCTCAGTTTTTTGGAGACTGTCCTCTATCAACTGAAACTATCTTGAATTGAATTGCTGCTGGACTGCAAGAGGAGGTATGCTTCCTGTTTTTAACTCTGAAAATATATATTGTATTGTCACTTTTTGGCCATGCTGTCCTTACTAAATAGTGGTACCTATCTTCATTGCAGTGTGATCTGTTTAGTGTGGAACCAGTCACTTTAAGCTGCATTTTACCACCAGGCCAATGTAAAAACCAAAACCCATTTTTAACTATAGTTGTGCTTAATACAGTTAAATTAAAAAACTGCAAACTGATGGTATGGTGTGTTTCAAACTAACAGAGTGTTTTTCTGTGCAAAATGGTTTTTAAATGCGGTTTGGTTTTTATTCAGCAAAAAAAAAAAA